TTTCTTTCTTTCTTTCTTTCTTTCTTTCTTTCTTTCTTTCTTTCTTTCTTTCTTTCTTTCTTTCTTTCTTTCTTTCTTTCTTCCTTCCTTCCTTCCTTCCTTCCTTTCTTTCTTTCTTTCTTTCTCCCCCCCCCGCTGCCCCGTCTCTGTCTCTGTCTCTTTCTTTCTTGAAAAGATTTTTGGTGCTGGGAATTAAAACAGGCCACTTTCTTGAATTAGCTTTCATTTCAGTATTGCTGCTTTAAAGAAGAGGCTTGGAGAGAAAGGAAGGAAGGAAAGAGAGAGAAAGAAAGCATGAAAGAAAGCAAAGGAAGGGAGAGAAGGGAGGGGAAAAAAAGGAAAGTATATATAGAGGAAGCAAGAAGGACAAGCAAGCAAAGGAAGGATGGAAAGAAGGAAGAAAAAGGAGAAAGAAAAAAGGGAAGGAAGGATAGATAAAGCAAGGAAGAGACAAGGAAGCAAAGGGAGAATGGATAGAAAGAAGGAAAGGGAAGAAAAAGGACGGGAAAGGAGAAAGAAAAAGAAAGGGAAGGAAGGAGAGCTAAAGGAAGAAAGGAAGGACAGAAAGAAGGGAAGAGAGAAGGAAGGAAGGGAAGGGAGAAAGCAAGGAAAGGAAAGATCAGCAACCGGAAAAGCAATAATAAATAAAAAGGCCCTTGTGACAGCTGCTGCTGAAGAAAATATATATTTATATACGTATTTCTTTCTTTAAAAGCCTTTCCCACCCCTGCCAGTCAGTGTTATGTGGCACAGCGGGCACCCCCGCTGGGAGAGTTTTTCGGGCTTTGGCCACCCCTCACCCCACCCTCTGGGCAAATGTTATAGAGAGCCGAGAAAGAATTTTCTGCTTGTCTTTTTTTCCCCTGCCTTGTTTTATTTGCCTTTTGTCTTCTTTTGAAGAATGACTTTAGACATTTTATTTACATATTTAACCAGGGATGAAAGCGGAGGGGTGGGGGCTGGGGGCGGGGCGGGGGGGGGCGGGAGCCGAAAGCATGTATATCCCTGGTGGAAATGGCAAGATCTTGCAATAGATGGGAATTGGGGGGGGGACACAAGGTGGGTTTTTGGGGGGTGGGGGTGGGGACATTGGAAGCCAAGAATTTGTTTTTAATGAAGTTTTGCAACTGAACGTGATTTCAGAGAACAGGGCAACTTTAGCCTTGGAGGGGGAGAGAGAGAGAGAGAGGGGGAGGGAGGGAGGGAGGGAGAGAGAGAGAGAGAGAGAGAGATATTTTATATATATATATTTTAGCCCATCGCCCTAACTCTGCCCTCTTCTGTAAATCCTCCCCAATTTCCCTTCCAAATGACATCATATAGAATCATAGAATCCCTCCAAACACTGATGATGTTGCCTAGTTGGGTAATGAAATGTCTGCAAGAAAATATCCAGGCTTGGAGACCACAGTCATCCTCCTCCTCCTCCCTCCTCTCCTCCTCTCCCTAGTTTGGGAGTGAAACGTCTGCAAGAAAACAACCAAGCTCAGAGACTCCATGGTTTTCCTCCTCCTCCTCCTCCTCCTCCTCCTCTCTGCAAACTCTACTCCCTTCTAGCACTGATGATGTTAACTAGTTTGGGAATGAAAAAAATGAAAGGAAGCAATCTCAGACAGCACCAAGGACCCCACAGTTTTCCTCCTCCTCCTCCTCCTCCTCCTCCTCCTCCTCCTCCTCCTCCCCTTTGCAAACTCTATCTCTTAGCATTGATGACATTACCTAGTTGGATAATGAAGCATCTGCAGGAAAACAACCAAGCTCAGAGAGCACCAAGGTCCCCTCCTTTCAACCCCGAGTGACAAATATCCTCCTCTTATCGGAATCATAGAATCATAGGGCCGGAAGGGACCTTGGAGGGCATCTAGCCCAACCCCCTTCTCAAGGCAGGAGACTTCATGCACCTTAAAAGCCCTCTTCCTCAAGCCAGAAGCATCGTGCAACTCAGAGAGCAATGACATATTTTTGTTTGTTTGTTCGTTTGCAACTGGAACGTGGGTTGGTTGCGTTGTGTACACTCAGCCCTGGAAGGATCCTTACAGATTCCGTTGCATTGCAACGCAGAAGAGGATTCCTCTCTTTGATCCATGAACTATTCCACAGAGGCTGGAGGAAAGGAAGGGTTTGAAAAGCCTTTTTGGTTAATTGGGAGGCCAGAAACCAACCCTCTGCAGATGTGAGCCGGAAAAACAAGATAGGGGGGAAAGCAAAACTAATCTCCAAAAAATCTCGATCATGCCTCTGCGGCAAGACCTTGAACCGGCTGCCTTCAACTTCCCACGGCTTCAACAGTGACACGTTGTACTCTCCAAGCCACTAAATCCTCTCCCAAGGTTAAATTGGAGCCACGCAAGCAACACTGTTCCTTAACTTGCGACCAGAATTCAGACCCACATTTTGTGTTGTTTGCTAAGGGAGAGACCTTTATTTAAGGGAGTTTTGCCCCAGGTGACATCCTTTCTTGCCAACTGTCATTAAGAAGATCACTGCAGTTTGTCACAGGGAGTACAGGTTAACCTCAACCAACAAACGACAATTGAGCCCAAAATTTATGTTGCGTTAAGGGAGACAATTGTTTCCACCTCCCTCCATTTTACGACTTTTCTCGCCTCATTTATTAACACACACACACACATTCAAATTTTATTAATTTTTGTATTGTAGTGCCTAATAAACACCGTGTTTTCTTGGTATTTAATTTGATCAACAATACTTATTACATTCTTAAATCTCCCCCCCCTTCCCTCCCCCCCCCCCCGCCAACCAGTGGTAAAACAGATTCCATGTCTGAGAATATTCTCTCTCTTCTTTCCGCTTTATTTTCAATGTCAAATCTATCCATTTCTGCACACAGTCCAGTATCTTCTGAATGATCTCTTCATTTCGTGGCATTTTTCTTCATTCCGCCCCCCCCGCCCCCCCAATATTGTGCAACGATAATCCTCAATGCTGTGTGACAACATGCAGTATGAAATACATACTTCTCTTATCTGATTTTTACTGATATTACATCGAATCAAAGCAGTTTGGGTTTAAAATCGTTAATATTAAGTTTAAAAGCGATATTAAGACATCTCCCCTTCCCTCTCTGGGGGGTTCTCTGCACCTCTATAACTGGCTGGTTTGGTTCTGCAACCCAACAGGACAGACACAGACTTTAGAGGATAATTAAGACTGCAGAGAAAACAATTACTACCAACCTGCCTTCAACCGAGGACCTGTATACTGCACGAGTCAAAAAGAGGGCTGTGAAAATATCTACAGACCCCTCACATCCCGGATATAAACTATTTCAACTCCTACCCTCAACACATCACTATAGGGCTCCGCACACCAGAACAACTAGACACAAAGGGAGTTTATCCCTGAACGTCATCACTCTGCTAAACAAATAATTCCCACAACACTGTCCAACTATTTACAAAGTCTGCACTACTATTACTATTAATCTTCTCACCACTCCTTATCACCCATCTCCTCCCATTTGTGACTGACTGTAACTTTGTCTGTATCCTTACGATTTATGTTGACTGTTTCCTAGTATGATTTGATTGCTTATCATACCCTATGACTATCATTAAGTGTTGTACCTGATGATTCTTGACTCTTGGTGAATGTATCTTTTCTTTTATGTACATGGAGAGCATTTGCACCAAGACAAATTCCTTGTGTGTCCAATCACACTTGGCCAATAAAGAATTCTATTCTATTCTATTCCATTCCATTCCATTCCATTCTATTCCTATTTATTCCATTCCATTCTCATTCCTCTATTCTATTCTATTCTATTCTATTCTATTCTATTCTATTCTATTCTATTCTATTCTATTCTCCCTTCCCTTCCCTTCCCTTCCCTTCCCTTCCCTTCCCTTCCCTTCTCTTCTCTTCTCTTCTCTTCTAATTACATTCCATATATTCTATTCTATTCTATTCTATTCTATTCTATTCTATTCTATTCTATTC